GTGCACAAAAAGAGAAAAGAAAAGAATCAAACAGAACTGAAGCGATGAGGAAAAGCCAAGAGTGGCTGCAGCAGCCTAGAATGGATATGACCCTGCACCTGGCACTAGCCCCCTCCCCTCCACAGTCTCAGGCCTAGCTTAGCCTGGAGAGCATCAGCAGAGCTGCTTACAGTTGGATTTGTCATCAGTTCTGTAATTGTCATTGTTTGGTCCCTCCTTCCTGCTTTGCAAGTTTGCCACCATCCTGGGCCCAGCCAAGGAGCACACTGTGGTGTTTGTGGTGTCCCTCAGAAGCCCTTATTCTGTCAGTGCCAAAGGGGACAGCTATGATTCTTATTTCTTTTCCCAGAGGGGTGCTTTTCCTTAGGGACAAAAGGGGGGGGGGGGTGGGGGTGGGGAGGTGTTCCAACAGTTCAGCAAACCAAAAATTCCTTTAGGAAAATGTATATGTGCATATATAATTATATACTCAAGAGGAGAAAGAGGTGCAGGGGGGTTGTTTTTCTTTCGTTGTTTAACATCCTTACATTCGTGTTGTGATTAATTCTGAAGTCTTACTCCGAATTTGAATCATCACTTCCGATGGGTCAGAAAGCATGCAGACTTCTCCCTGTTTCCACAGCAGGGGCTCATTGCCACCAACCCTCCCCAACAGATTTACAGGTCGCAAGGGTGTCAGCTTTAATGCATCCACCCAGCACAAACCTTCCTCCCTTCTTGCCCCACATCCCATTGGGCCAAAAGGACGTGGGAGCTTTCTGCTTGGTCCGTTACATAAAGCAAATGTAGCAGCTGAACTAAGAATGATAGGAGAAGAAAGTGAAGGGAGAGCTAAGGAAGAAGAATAAAGAAATGAAGAATGATTTGTGAGAAAAAGGAAAAGAGAGAAATGTAATGGAAACATTCATTATTATTCAGAATAATACTTAACACTTTGATAGAATTTTCTTTCCAGGATCTCAAAGCACTGAGCCGGTGCTAATTAATTCAGCTGCGCAATCCTCCTGTGAACTAGGAATTATTGTTATCCCCATTTTACAGAAGATTGGAATTGAGGCATGGGGGGAAATTGGACTTGACAAAGGTTCTCTAGAGCCTTTGGGAGAACTGGGGAGTTTGAGTTCCCAGGTACCTGCTCTCATATCAGTAATGTTGTTCACTCTCTGGATAGAAAAATGCATTGGGAATGAAGAATAATAAAAGCGAGAGACAGAAATGGAATGGAAAGAGGGTGTGAGAAAGAAATGGGAGAAAGGGAAGAGACAGCAGAATGAGAGAGATATGAGTCATAGACTTCACTAGATTTTGCATAGAGACTTCTTTCTCCAATTCTTTTTCATTTTTTCCTGTAAAACCTTTTAAAGAAAACTGAAAAAAAAATATCCACAAAGCAACTATTGGCCTCTTGGGGAAGGGGTCCTTCCAAGGTTTGGCTGTTCCCTCAGGTTCTGGATTTGTGCTGTGCTTTATTGAACACATCGTTTTGTTTTCAGTGAGCACAACGAGACTTGCACAGTACAGACAGCGTGTTCCTTATCTACAGGATGAGACGAAGCTGTTTTAATAACTACTATGATGAAGATGAAGATGGACTTATATACAAGAGGAATTGCCTTCACATTACACACATCATCTTCCTACAAAGCAGCAATTGTTTTTGCAAATAACATAATATTAAATAATTGGTAGAATTTTTGCGTTTCCTGCATAGTCCAGTCTAATGGAATCTATATGAATATTGATGGTTTTCTTCTGCATAATATCACCACATAAATCCCCATGTCAGCTACTAGACTTTAGCTATAATACTGCTTTACAATGCATCCACCGACTGTAAATCAAAACAACCAACACAAGAAACTCTTTGGCAAATGTAATTCAGTACATTCGCATGGGGGTCTACAGATGGTGGTGGAAGAGGATTAGACTGCCCAGTCCTTTGCATAATTCTGCTTTCCTTTTAATTTTCCTGGTCAAACTACATGCCATACTTAGGAGCTTTCCAGACCAATTCAATGCCTGGTGGAAATCCTCTTTCATCAGTGGAGTTACATCAACAATGGATTTGGCCCTCTGAAGGTCAAATCAAGCCAGCCATGAGTGAGCCAACCAAATCCTGCTTTCATACCCTAGCTCATGTCTCAAGTTTAGCGAAACACCATTATAAAAATAAGCATTTCTGAGCTGCTAGCTTCTCTTGAGGTGGCCCCTGGGCTGCAGGTTGCCAAGTGTGAGGTGTGACAGTCTCCTTTTCTCTAGCCTCCTCACGAGGTTCTCCTTGCTGGTCCTGGGATTTACTGCCTCTGCCCTGACCACCTGCTGAGTGAAAATGGGTGGTGTACAAGGAGAGCAAAGGCTGTACTGAGGCACTGAAAGGGAGACTTTACTAACAGGGTCTAGCATCTATCTGGTGTCTGTGGAGGAAAACAGAAGGAGCGGTGAAAGTAAATTTTTAGAAATTACTCAGAATTTTCTTCTCATCTAGAATAAGATGAGATAATGGGCCAAATTCTGGTCTCGGTGACAGTGTAACAACTCTGCTATTTGCAGCAGGTTACTCAGAGGTAAGACATGTGGAATAACACTTTTAATAGATCAGGATTAACCTCTTTGATTTTATTCTGTACAGGAACAGATTTTAGCTCTATATCTTCTATGTAAA